ATCTTGCAAACAAACTATACCAAATGATAGAAGAGTAATTCCTCTACCTGTTTGTGTTGTTAGTTTTCGAGATTGAGCTTTAATTCGCGAGAAATCGGTTATTGAAATGTTTGTTTACAAAAGCAATTACGCCCTATTCTCGAAGTTCTTCGGATGCAAGTCGTGCAAGATGCAAGTCGTCCCCCTCGTATTTTTCGAAAATTGGCAAATTCTTCTGCTGAATGGCGCTGATTCCGAGGGCCTTCCGTCCATCTTCGTGCTTCGTGAGCAAAGTTAGAGATCAAATTGAAATCAGAATTTGCTGTTATGATGTAACTTATTTTGAATATTTTTCCATTTCCAATTGATCTCATTTTGGTTGACTTAACGGTTAACACATCAAAAATGAGAGCAAAATTTTACACTGTTGAATCAAACGGAAAACTAATCCTGCTTTCAATGAAATCAATTTGATTACTGATTTTGCATTCATAATGTTTGACTGAATACGGGCCTGGTGTAAATGGTTAGCATCCAAGCTTCTCACGCTGAAAGACTTGAGCTCAAATGTCACCTCGGGTTGGTTGCGAATGACCTAAAATTAACACAAAACAATTAAACAATAATCGTTAGTTCAACGACAGATAAGCTTAACTTAAATCTTAAACAAGACGTTAACAGCAGAACTTCAAGTTAAGTTGCTTTCATTTAAAATGTCTTGACTGCATAATGAAAGCACAATATGATATCAGACTAATGTCGTGACAATTGAAATCAAAATGAGTTTTCATTATGATAGGAACTGCAATCTTTAATATCGATTTGCTTTCATTTTGTTAACCGACTTTGCTCGGGTAGCGCTTTGGTGAACATGTCCAAAGCTGCACTTACATGCTTATCGCGTATGATCGAGGGCGTTTATTGCTACAAAAGCTTCCACTTTCGTTGGAAGAGGATCTACCGGAATGCGTCTTCTAAGGCATGGAAAAAACCGTTCTTCTGTTCTGTGGAATGCATTGATGTGCATAGTCGTCCATGTGAACCGAAACCAAACAATGATATCGATGTTATTACCGAGCTACGGTAGCTAAATCAGTGGATTCATGAAATCAAGCAGGAGTCGTTGCAATCTCGAGTTGATTTTGAAGAATCCTGTAGCGTATTCGTTTATTATTCAGTTCCCACCTGAATCGGGTATCAAGATAGGGTCTGCTTGTTTTCTGACAAACGTCAGTTTGCTCGTTTGTTTTTGACACCTAGCTCAGGTTGAGGTTCGCACTGACAAAAAGTTTCGCATATTGAGGAGTTCCAGGTTTTTTTCGGAAATCAGTTTGACACCTTACAGGCTGGTTTCAACATGTTTAAAAAGGAGCTACGCGGTTTGAAAAGGGACAATTCAAAGTTGTGGAAAGAGCTACAGGAGTATCCGAACAGGAACCATCAACTTGTAACCACTGTATACGGCCTTGAACTTGTCCTCGATAGAGTGAATCGCTTAATGCTGGCAAAAAATGCAGTTATGCTGGGGGTTCCTGCGATAGCACATGAAAATAGCAAGGAGCTGGTATGTAATGTTATGAAAACCGTTGTAGTTCGTTCGGTGCTGATGTTATCGGGAACGCCAGGCTTATTCCTTGTTGGAATTTGCGCTAATCATCGTACGTTTCGTTAACGAAAACATCAACGAGGCTTTCTTCGAGAAGAAGCGAGCTCCTGGAGTCCTGATAGCGTCTGCTGTGTGTGAAGCTTTCAACGGGTCAATGAATCGGATCTTTGTTTACGACGAAATAACATCTTTTCGAACAATATAGGATATGCAGTGATTATACGGCAAAACGACGCAAAAAAGGAGCAAATATCATCACTGAAGAATCACGAATGAATATCGAAAACGTCGCAGAAGCGGACTCTTGATTCATCCAGAAACATCTCAATCATCAAGCTTTTCACCACAAGGATCAGCAGCAAAACGGGTCTCAGTTTTAATAATACCGTAGATCTGTCGTTAACGTTTCACTTCAAATTTCGACACTAAAAACTTTTACTTCAATACGGTTTCTGATCTAAAAAAAGCAAGCAAAACTAAAAAAAATATGAATTTGCATAACAATAATCTCAAATATAAATTTTAAACTTCTAGTTCCAGCATTAGTTTTGACATCAGTTGCTCCAGTGTTTGGTTTTAGTGATTTTTTCAACGGTTCATTCTTCCATTGCTAGTAATGAAATAACGCTGCTTTGGAAACAAACTCAACATGTTTCCCTAAAATGAGTTTCAGTTAAGATCATTTCACTAAGGTGGACCACTCAAAACCCATATGGAAGGTACAATATTCATATTCCCGGAGGTTGGGAAGTCAATGGATTTTGTTTTTACATGAAATATAAGGGCGCATCCATGTCACACTATAATGATGAAAAATCACCCCCTCCCCCATTCGACATGCTTCATCCTATATCTTAAAATCTCTAGAGTTGCATCCAAAATATCTGCAGAAAACACGGTTCGCGAGAAAATGGCCTTACAAGGTTTGTTTACAAAATGGATTTAAGGCCATTTCAATTGTTGGTCTTGAATTTATATATTAGAATTTTCAACAAGTTTAATTTTAAATATGCGATCGTTATGGATCTGACTTTGGAACATCTTTTCAGCAGCAGGAGGACAACTGTCATTCCCCATATTGGTTATTCACTTATTATTTAGTTCAATTGACTTTCACAAACGTAGCCTGAATCCATCGTGAAACACTTTTTTGTTGTGATGGACGTCTGACGCTTTGAGAACTTCTGAAATATTTAAAATCATCTCTCAAATAAAACTCCTACTCTATCCAGTCTCTATCACCTAGAACTTGATGTAAATTTGCCCACGTGAACGAATTCGGAAACTCATCTCTATAGCTGTACATGTATTGACGAATGATGTCGGACAGCACTCCAGTTGTCCACTGAACGTCATTCTCCTCCAACGACACCGTGACAGGCCGCCCGACGTGAGAATCATGCAAATGAGTCGTTTTAATGATAAGTACGGGTGATAAATTTCCAAATAGCCACGTTCCTTAATCCTAATTAATATTATTTGTCATTTCACACCACTGCCGACCGAAACGACCATCTCCCGAGTCGGTTCATATGTATATAGGCATTCCCGAAACCATGACCGCGTGTCGGCCTGCGTCGAGCCGCGTGTGTTTGAGTGCTCGTTGGTGACCAAAATCGCGCAAACAAATTGGCTTGTTTAAATAATTATTCAAATGACGATTCTCCACTCGCGGCCCGAAAAAAGGTTCTTCTCATCTTTGCCATGCTATTCGCTCACTCACTCACTCTCAAAGTGCCTGCCCTCTCGCTCATTTCCGCCACGTATAAATTAGTGTTAATTCCTGTGTCTGCATGGTGTGTAAAATGTTTATCTTGTTTTTGGCAAATTTATGATGGCTATTTTGCATACGATACATTCGTAAGGCTAAATAGATTCAATTAATTTATTTTTATTTCTTTTCTTTCGCTCTTTCCAGCATCAATTTGTAGTTCATGTTGAACATGGTTTGGGATTTTTTTTTGTCTTATCAAAATAGCACGTTTCTCAAAGCTTCGACATTGCTCTTATCTGGGGACGACTGAAACTGTTAGCTTTGTGCATTTTTCCTCCTCATATATCGAAATTAATTCATCCAGAGAGAAGCACACAAGAAAAGTGATAAATTAATAAACCGTTTTCGCGCTTGCATCCCCCTGTCGCTGGGCCAAGACGATTGTTTTATGCTTTTTTATCGCTGCCATTGCATATGGAACAAAAGCACATGGAATACAATTTATGGCGAAAAGGCTGTAAAAGATTATCGCCCGCGGATAGCGATACATAAATCTACCGGGTGGAGGCGCCAGACTTTTTGAATTTTTGCTTATTGTTACGATGAAATGTGCTACAGCAGCCGGGACTTATGATGTACATGTATCGTGGGGCCTTGCATTGAATGAGCAGCTGAGAAGCGGCGGTGAAGATATAACTTATCGAAAATCATAAGCAAATGAAGATATAGGTTTTACCCGTAGGGATGAATAACGATGGAAATCAATAACGGAGAGCTTCCCATACAATCTGTATTTTTGTAGAGTTGCGTTTACTTTTAAGGGTTTTAATCGTCTCTAGTTTCCACAAAGTAAAATGATACAACACTACTTTATGTTTACGATCCATAGTTACTGTTTAGGCTATCCGAATGAAAAATACAGTACAGAGCCGCTTTTGGTAACACATGATTTTTGGTTTCTATATTTTATCGAACACTAATTCTAATTTATGACAACTTCACTTGTTCAGTCTAGAGAGGATCTACTCAAATGAGCAATATTAAGGTGAATCACTGTGGAAGACTTATTTACGATTAATCTAATCCAGGCCTGTCATGGTGGTTACTCGTGGTTTTCAATCCAGGATTTTTTTATTAAAAGCTTCTCCATGCTAGAACTAGCTATTGCTATTACTTTTCTGGTAAAACTCCCACCGCTTTTATTCGGATGTTTTCTATTCAATCAATCTGAGCGTTTACTAGTCATTAACCATAGGTTGACATTTATCACATACCAAAGGGTGGACTGATTAGAAAACATCCGAATAAAAGCGGTGGGAAGCGCTTGTTACGTATTGCGCTCTTCGGGGGATTATTATTAGGTGCTTGTAAATGGATCGAATAAGAACATATTTTTTATACGCGAAACGAAAAATTTATTGCCTTTCAGAACAGAGTTTGAAGCCGAATAGTTTAGTTAAAGTCAGCAGGGTCCACAGCAGTATGTACTCAAGAGGGGACTTTTCATCGGTCGTTTACAGTCTGAAAAATAAAACCAAGGAGAAAAGAGAGCGAATTAGGTACTTCAGATTGTTTAAAAATTATATTCGAACAACTTACGATTATAGAATCGATCCACATTGTAGCAGTGTGCTCGACAAGGTGCTTTATAGCAACAGGGCTGAGGAGCGTGCCAAACTGATTTACAGTAGCGATTTGAAGGGGTGCAGTACCAGTTGGTCTTGGCGATCTTCGGTTTGGGAGTGTGATTTCGAACTGCTGAATGAACTCGTTTCAAGGGATCTGTAATGGAACAATGAAACTCTACTCGACTTTTTGATATTGCTGTTACTCACATGATACCTGAAATTAAGGAGAAAATATTGTTTGGTAAGGCTTATTTATAGAATGCAAGACCACAATGTACCTGCACTTGTCGCTGTTGCATGTCGTTCAGCAATACTTTTTGGGTGGACAAATCGGACCTGGCGTCGGCGGGCAGCAAGGATTGTTGAAGAATGTAGTTCCTGTTGAAACGCAGCAGTACTCTTTGGCTGCAGGAATTGGAACGATCTGCGGCTTTGGTTGGCATACCATTGTAGTGCAGTATTCCTTTGGTTCGACGATCATTCGTTGGGTGCAAACGACTTTGGGATCCGGTACCGTGCGGCGGTAGTAGATTACCTTAGGTTCTGGAACAACGCGTTTCTTGAAAATTACACACGGCTCAATGATGGTCTTCGGTTGATAGATGAGCTTCGGTTCCACGATGGCCTTGGTCTGCGGCAAGACGTGCTTGTCGATCACGGTTCGGGTACAGTTGATAACCTTTTTCTGTGAAACCAGCCGAGGAGGTTGTTGAACGGTTACGAATCGCGGACCACAAGTGGGTGGTGGACAACCCGATGGACATTGCGGCATGCATGCCAACTGGCCAGCGCTGAAGCTACGTGGTTCGCAGCAAGGATCACATGGGCCACAGGGTGCCTTTTTTTTGGGAGGGGGTTAGTACAGTCTTCACATGCAACAGCGAGCAAGTAGAATGTTGGCAAAAGCGAAATACTTACACAAGGTCCACAGGGACCACATGGACCGCAAGGGCCACAGGGACCGCATGGACCGCAAGGGCCACAGGGACCGCATGGGCTGCAAGGACCACAGGGATCACATGGACCGCAAGGACTGCACACAGCATCACAGCATGGATCGCACATTTTGTATGAAATAGATTTCTTTCACTCTTCAGGGCTTGAAAATTCTTCAAACTGTTCCTGCTGGCTTCAACGGACTCTGCTCCTAAAGATTTTTTCAAGTACAAGAATTTTGCGACTGCTTTCGACTGGATCTGGACAACGAATGAAGTGAAAGCCAAAAGTTTTTTCCGTTGTTAAGTATTTTTTCACTGGTAGCTGAGATTGGAGAAAATCATGGCAGCCTTTTCGGTAAAAGTATGTTTGTTTACGCTGCATATACATTCAAATGCCAAAAATGATCGGGCGACTTCAAATTTGGAGGGGACTTTGTTCTGGGCCTCAAGTTTTTGTGTATCAAGTGTGTTCCGACGACATTGTTTGAGAGGCATCAATTTTAACACTTATTTTGAACTTTCAGAACCTTTTTGCAAGCAAACCAGCTGTACGCAATCAACCCAAAATTGACAACTTCAAGACCTACGAAGATCTGGGGAAGATGAAGCAATATGTTTTCCGGGAACATGCAGAAGAGAAGGTTATTTTGCGTTATTTGAAAAAAATGTGCCGTTTTTATTACGGTGCTCTTCCACATTGCAGGGTTTGGGACCCATCCCAAGGGCTGATGAATGTGCCAAAATGGGAGAATACAAGAACCCGGAATACTATTCCTACCACCATTACACGTACTACGACTTTGAGGTGGGCATTCAGTGTATGCATCTTACCCAGCCCAGTGCCTTGAACGAGAAAGATCTTCTGACGATGGTACGGAAAACCTGTAGCGGCGATGTGGAAGACCACTCCGGACGGTGTTGCCCGCCGCCGAGATGTTCAGTGAACTGTATGAAAGAGAGCGCTTCCGTGTCGGATGGAAAAGACACTGTGAATGAATTGGCGAATGTGGTCGGCGCTTGTGGTCAGACTGCAGAGGTTGGACAATACATAGCACCCGATCAAGAAGACTATCGAAATCAAAGGCAGGATAGGGAAGATCAAGAATCTCGACAAATAGGCAAAGGTGAAGTATCAAACAAGTTGGGCAGTAATTTTGAAGGAAATCCTGAGTCATAGAAACTTAATGTTATTGAATATAAATACGGGCAAGGGTGCCAGTTTTCAACCTCATTTCCCCATAATCAATTGCCTCTATCTTAAAAGTTACATTTTTTATCCTTGATACCGAAGAGGTCGTAATCTCTACATTTGGTCCATTGAGAGTTTGAACGCGTTCTACCAATTTGGTCGAAGCAGATTTCAAGTGTGGGCAAGTGGCGAAATCGATCTTCGTCATGTGGAACTCACTTTTAATCGATAGACAAAACTGCATTATTGACAGCCCACGGTTCCTACTCCGTTATTGCAAGATCATCTGTAACTACACGGAGAACCAACAGATGATGTTAGGAACTAGCTACACAGAAAAATGTTTTCAATTTTACTGATTCCTTATTAAAGAGTTGTATAGATTTTTCTCCTTTAGTTTACTTATATCTTTGGTTTTTATTAGTTAGGTAGGTTCCGATTCAACACATTGTCGTTTAATTTTTATACCTGTGATCTTGAGTTTTTACCTATGGGATGAGTACTTAAGGGGGTTAGATTTTGATCAGTTATTTAGTGGGTATGAAACTGATGAAGACTGCACATTGTAGTCGAAATACGTATCTGTCATGGATACCAAAATTAATTAAGTGGAATTAAATGGAAGATAACCTTTTTTTTTGCTATTTTATGATTGTGGCCCTTATTACGAGTGTCACTTCACGGTGAAAACGAAGTGAAGTGACCACTTATCACTCACGGTGAAGTGATTGCCGTGTAAATCAAATGGGAATCACTTCACCGTGAGTGGTGGGTTGTCACTTCACCGTGAAGTGACATCGGTAAACCAGCAACTTGCAAGAAATGTTGCTTACAAAAATCGACGGTTGCATGCAATTTATGGAATATCTCATGGCATGTCTCGTAGATTTGCGCGATCTATAATGTAAAATAAAAAGGGTTTAGTATAAGAGAGGAGCAGATTCAAAACAAAATGTTTTGGCAGCCTATGCCTAGCTGGTTTCTAGCAACACTGACAATGCAATCAAGATAGGCGCTGCTTTGACAGATCGTTTGGCTCAATACCAGCCAGTCAGCTCCTATCTCCACTCTGTAATGTAAATTTGTATGATTTATATCGCTCCATTTATGTACATCATAGTAACATAAATTTACACTACTTTTTCAAACTGTGTATCATCCTCAATGTGTAAAAACTGGTGATTTCAAACTTTATAATAGTAAATAAGACCAGCGCCGGCCGCGTCCCAATGCAGGTCAACTAAGGAATGGATAGGAATGTGTTGACATGATACTCACTTTGTATGAAGCCTAAAAACCCTCTGCACTTTCACAAGAAATCACTGCGATGTTGGATAAAAGGTTGGGTTTACACCAGAGTTCGTTTTGGAATTGAAGTAACCACCAATATTTTTGTTTTTGTTCGAACCGTTCGAACCATAAAAAGTTTTTTTTTTAAATTGTTCGAACGGTCCGAACGAAATCAAGAATATGTGTTCAAGTTAACCCTTACTAGGGATAATAGGAGACTCCTGTGCTAAAATTAATTTCTCAGTTTTTTAGCCTAGCAAATAATTTACCATTTTGATATAAATTGCTACATTTTACTATAGAGTTTCAATATCGACAAACTAGTGGTGAATGAACTTGGAAAAGTATTATTTTTTTTAAATATTAGCGAAACTTTCTTTAAGCGATTATTTTTGGCGCAGGAGCCTACTTCGGTGCGAAATGCGCAATATTTACCTTAAAATGATAAATTAGTCATCCATCAAAAGTAAAATAATCATAGCCAGTATCGGTAGTAATGTCGCCACGCTATTACTCCGAAGCTATCAAATAGATAGCTTGGCTAATGAAATGCTCGTTCGTTTCGTACCGTAATCGAAAATTGCCCTGTGCTTAATTTCATCTTCTATATATAATTTTCACACTGCTGTACTCTAACAAAACTATCAATTCTATACTATATCACCTTATCTATAATATTAATGTTCACCTTAAGTCTGATATTGACATTCTTTAAGTATCTCCCTCAGCTTTAAAATAATCAGTTATTCATAATTGTCGTGCTTGTATCGTAAAGGTAATTAATACTTGTCTCCTATAATTTTTATTGTGATGTAAAAATTCATTCACGTAAACTTGTATTTCATTTCACGCAACCAAGCAACTTGTAAACAATGTTGTTTACAAAGATATGCTTTTGTATACAATATTTGCTACATTGCATGAAATGTGTCAGAACTTTACATGATATATAATGTAAACGTATATGATCTTTGACGCTCCATTTATGTGCATCATATTGAACAGAAATTTACACTACTTTTTCGAACTGTGCAGCGCCTTTTGTATAGGTCTACTCTAATTTGTGTTTGTGTGGCCGGATTGGACCTAAATCGTCACCTTGAACCGGTTTTTAAAAAAAATAACTATTTTTTTTATGAAAAGCTCTAGTTTTCGCAAAGCGCATTTAAGTGGCACTAAAATCCTCCTAAATAGCAAAGTATAAATCTTGGTGTAAATATAATATGGGCGCAGGACGGTTAAGATAGAAGACGACTAACGAATATTGCAACGTAAGCAAAAACGGTCGCTCAAGGCCACCGAGACTCATAGCACACTTATGATCGTGTTGTTGGTGTAACCACTCAAATCCGGCACCGACGACGACGATGACAAGTTTCACAAAACACACGATGAGCAAGCAATGTGACTCTAAAACTCCTTAGTATATTTTGAGAGCTTTTGATGCCTGTACCATTTTTGCATTAGTATAATTGTGCGGCAAGTATAATCATACTCTGCCCAGGGAAATCGAGAAATTTTCCAACTTGAAAAATTTCTAGACCGGACCGGGAATCGAACCCAGCCACCTCGAGCATGGTTTTTCTTTGTAGCTGCACCTTTACCGATTGAGCTAAGGAAGGCCGATTTTAAGTTTTTTAAAAATAAAATGCTTCCCCAGAAGTGACGTTCCCCCTGTTTTTAGGCGATGTTGATTGTTTCGATTTGGTCCTTTTTTATTCCTTTTCACAATTTTTTAAAGAAGTTGCACTACATTTGGTCCAGAAATAGATAAAATAAAAACCATCAATTGTAAATCTTTCCAAACTTATTGAAATTGACCGGCTCTAAGTTACAATAAATTCTCTCAAACTCATTCAAATATTTTGAAATTTAAAAAAGAAAATAACAGCATTATTCTATCTATATTAACATGGATTAACTGAAAGTTCAATTGGACTTAATTAAAATGACGAACCAGCCAGTGGCTGAAAGTCACTCTAAAAAAAAAACAATTGGACTTAATGTTTGCTTTCTTTATTGAAAAGTAATGAACGATGGTCTAACAGAGAACAAAATAAATGCAGGAGCATACATTTCATTTCCTATCAAGTAGAGGAAGGTCGGGCAAAATTTCGTCAGCACAATGTAGACGAAATACGCGTATCTGTCAAGGATAAGCAAATATGGTAGTGGAATTAAATGCAATCCTTCTCTCCTTCTTCGTTTTGAGGTTTTTTAAAGCCCGTTCCAAATAATACTTAATGTGTTGATACTTGTTTGGAAGGTATTTTAAAGACTGACTTTCTTAAAAAAAAACCACAAAAATTACACCGTCTTTAGTCCAGCTACACCTCAAAGTTTTGAGAACAATGATATGTCGAAACCAGTTCCGGGGCCACCAGATGGCCAATGTGATGCAGAAAATATGATATGGCCTCTTCTGGACTGCTCACAAAATTCTGTGCACATTGATATGTCGCTCGATAGGTTTCTGTTGTAGTGAAAAATTGGCCACTTCCCCAAGGCTTCCGGAACCTGTTCTGGGGTCATTATATGCCCAATGCGTTGCAATATGATGTCATGATCATGGATTATTTGCTTTTAACGGCATCTTCAAAGTTAAATTAATTATGGCACAAATTTCATCAACATAGCTGCAGTTACTTAGAAAAATATCAAATCCATCCCGGTCGGGAACGATTTAAATGTAATAAAATTGTATGATCTTTAGCACCGCATAGTGAGAGAATTACAAACTATCACTA